CTGTCTGCGGAACGAAGCGATGTTACGGTTGTTAGCGTCTTTTTCTCACACGCTGCTATACTGTTCTATCTGCCGAATGTTGCTTCCTGAATCTGCGACTTCCATAGATGTTCGCGCGCACCATCGCGCTAGGCAAAACACAGACACGACACGCACACACAACACACACACACACACACACACACACACACAACACACACACACACCCGCGCGGCGCACACGCACACACACACAAACACAGCACACGAACACAAACACACACAAACACACACACAACACACAACACACACACACAACACACACACACATACACACATACAGCACAACACACGCACGCACGCACGACGCACGCACGACACACCACACATACACAACACATACACACACACACACACACAACACACACACAATAAACACACACACGCACGCACGCACGCACGACACGCACGCACGCACGGCACACACGACACGCAAACACACACACACAACACAACAACACACTCACACACACACACACCACACACACACACGCTGCCGCAGGCGCGCCGCACGCCCCATTTGCGCGCGCCACTGACTCTTCTGCCATACACTTACACACGCACGTCCACCTCCTCGTACCACACACACACACACACACACACCCACACACACACACACACACACACACACACACACACACACACACACACACCACGCGCGCACTGCGGCGCGCACACACACGCACGGATGCGCGCACACACACATACACACACGCACGTACTCACTCTACCACACACACACGCACGCACGCGCGCACACACACACACATCCACGTACTCACTCTACCATACACACACGCACGTACTCACTCTACCACACACACAACACAATCAACTGATCGCCTCACCTGGGTGAGACCCACACACCCACTCCACCCCCACCCCGCTTCTCTCTGTTCGTGCCTATCGACTGACTGTGCCTGGTGGTTTGTCTTCTCGCTGTAGGTGGGATTTCTAGTGGGAATCTGTATTCCGTGTTACGACCTGATGTCAACGGTAATGCCGGTGCTTAAGCCAATGCACGCCGGAGCCAGGTACCGATCCGTAAATATAAGGGTTCTCCGACATCCATCGTGCCGTAACCATGGCGACGATGTGTTACGGGAGCATGTTGCATAGACACGAGATCGTTCTCTCACAACTCTTGTTTGCGGCAAGGCGCGTGTTGGCTTCTTGTTTTACGCCGTTCCTATAGGAGCTAGGGAGTCTTTTTCCTCATTTATATTGTTCTTTTTATGTCTGTTTTGACGTAATTCCGGTTTGTCTCTTTCCGGTTTGTCTTTTTCCGGTTTGTCTCTTTCCGCTTCCGCCGTTCCATGTTTGCGTCTGTTTTCCTTATGTGTTTTCATTTATATTTTGTTCCGATTCTTTTTTTTTGTGGTTTCCTTTTATACACCTGCATCGTTCCCTATCCCATAGATTCTTGTATTCCCTTAGCACTTTCTTTCCCACTTCGATCCCGATTCTTTTTAGTTTTTTGATCATTTTGGTTTCGGCAGCATTTTGCCGGTATTTTCTATCTGTTTTCTCACGTAATTATCAATATTTATCTATCCATCACCGCATATCGCCCATACAAAGCTGTGATAAAACAATCTCGTGTCTATGAAGTCATCATCAAACGTATAAATTATTATTGCGTCTGGCGGCCGTATATCAATGTCTATCTCACCGACGGCCGGTGTCATATGCTCGACTTGTGCCTCTGCGTTCGCACGCCACACACACACACACACACACACACACACACACACACACACACACACACACACACACACACACACAC